ATTCCTGAAGAAGAATAAATAAATAAACATTGCCTCTTGCCATATAAATAGAGACCAGTTCTGCTTAATCTGGTGCTCTGATAGGTTGAGTGTAAGTCATGTGTATTTCTGACGAAAGGCAGTCTTTAACTAAACAACTGTTTGCCCCATTCATTTCTTTAGCTCTAGTTCCTGACTCATACCTTTCCTCTCCGTACTTAATGCAGTTTTATTATACTTCTAAAATGAAAACAGTCCCATTTAACCAAAGACCTGTGATCCAGTCAAAACCCATTAAAGACACTAACTCTGAAAATGGAAGGGTAGGTAGAAATCAAATTCACAGACTGGCTCTTTCTTTCCTTTGGTGTGGGCATTTGGTGTTCGTTGTCACAGGGACACCTAGATTAAGAGAATTCTGCCTCCTCCTTGTAACCCTGCGTGGCCTCCTAAGACTACTGAGTCTCCATTTGCTAGTGGACTTCCTTCACCACTGTAGTCGGAAAGACTGGTTCTGTTGCCTTTTAAGGGAATAAACAGGCTAGACCACTAAGACTAGCAAGCGTATTTCTGCTTTGCTTTATTTTGATTTGAACTGAATGGTGAATATTACCAGGGGAAAGGCCCAAGTTGGTCTGAACTGCTTGATTTTGACTTCACCCCTGGCTCTGCGGCTCGGTGTCTAAACCAAGGGAGTGCTCACCTCCGTTCTTTGAATGCTAATGAAGGACACCTGTGTTTCAAGGCAGGCGCTAATGTGTATAATTTATTCCTGAGCAGAATTAGAACCACGACGCATGATTTCTTCTCTCTTAACCTTCTTAGATTTAATTCAAACAGCAACAACCAGTGTTAAGGAGGGTGCTACTTTTGAGGCATCGTCTTCGGATTCATTTCTCAGAATGGTGGAGTGAAATTTCCTTATTCCTGCCAGTTGTTGAGATGCGTGTCAGGGGAGGGGGAGCGCACACTTCCTGGGGAGTTTATAATCAACAAATTCTTATCCTGAGGACTAGAGTAGAGTTGAAGTATCCATCTCCTTCAAGGACTTAGCTATAAAAAGCAACGTCTTCAAAGCCCTTATCACTTGCCGACTCCCCCTGCAGCTGCTCGACAGCCTGTGTGCAGCCCCGACTTCTGTGGCTACATTTGCTGATTTATGCCTCTGACTTGGCTGGGCTGTTGTGTGACGATTAGTCTTGCGGTAATTATGGATGGCATATTTGCAGCATATTTATTCCTTTCCTCGGCTCACTTGGATTCACACTGATTTTGTTTAGTCAACAATCTGCCAGATTACCCTTGGAATTTATTTTTCTTTCAATTGTACCTGGGCTTATCTCCCTGTCACAGATCACCTTAGGAACTCAGCACACGAGTTTCCTACTTCTCTTGACTGAGATCTGCTTTTCTGTCCACGTGGCCAAATGTCCAGATAAGGGTCTTGCTTCAGAGCTGTTGTGAATTCTGAATTCGGCAGGTAGCAGAGGGAGGGCTGGTGGCTATCGCTCAAAACCCTGCTAACAGGCTGTTTGTTGTCGATCTCCTTACTCTTCAAAGCTCACCCTCTCAGGCTGGATTAAGTCTACATGGCTCCCTAGCAGGTTATGTCTCCTATAGATTCTGACAACTTCCTTTAATCGTCTTCTAAAGATGGATTTTTGCTACGTGTTGGATATTAAAAGGCAAACAAAGGGAAAAAAAACGGGATTAAACTCATAGTACATGGAAAATTCGGTGTTCCTGTGATGAGGGTACATCTGGACAAAGTGGATTATCTTCTTGGTTCTATCTACTGGTTATCTCGGGCATTTTCTTTTGCTGTTCTGGCTTCCATTACTTGGTTTTGTAACAGAGCCCCCCTTGCCAGCGTCATTAAAATGCACTCTTTTATCGTGGACAAAAGATTCAGCTTCATGATATAGTCTAACTAGTGCTGGAGGAATTAGGTTGCTCTTCAGCTGTGGGCACTCCTTTTAAGCTGGGGTCATTTGTAAACTCCATGACAGCGGCTGCTTCTTCGGCTTGCTCCCCGGGACAGGAAAGAGTTGGCGTGGCAGCTGTGAGATGGCTGTTCTGTCTTCAGAAAGATCTGCTTGCAAGGTTGGCCTCTGGGACTTCGACCAGTAAACTGTCTCCTATACTAATATACACCCTTCCCTAAAGGATAAGGGTATCTCCTGCACAACTGTGCAGACAATACAGTGTATGCTGATGACCTGCTTTTCTTTTGGGAGTCTAGAATTTTGGTATGTGCTCGTGAAGGGTGCCTGCATGAGTAGCATGGTATAAACCCTGGTGCCAGGTTCTAATGAGCTTCTCTGGGCAACAGTATCACACATTTATTACTGTGTTTTTGTTGCTGGGGAAGAGTGCTCTCTGGGTGACCCCTCATGAGAAAAACAGAGAGGGGGAGGGAGAGAGAGAATAAGGAATCTTGCACCCGGTTTCCTCAAATTTTGCCTGTTTTCCCCCCATATGATCGCACTGTGTATCCTTACTACAACACTCTGATAAATCTTAGCTTTGAGTACAACTCTACTCTGTGCCCCAGGAGTCTTTCTAGTAGATCTCTGAATGTGGGGTGGTCTGGGGACCCCATTAGTTGCTATGAGATTCCAGAAATATCACTTGAGGGCGTTATCCTCAGAGATGCTGGTCTGATCCCTAACCTTCTTGGTTGCTCATGCAAAACCAGGCATCTTTCAGCTTAGATGGTAATGTTTACTTAGTTCGTAATTATTCTTTTACTTCCCTCAAGGAGATCGCTCTGTTCTATTAAATTGGATATTTTGTGACATAATCTCTAAAATTAATTTACAGTCAAAATCTGTGTCAGTCTAACTTCAACAGTAGCCGACAAACTCTAACCATTGGCAAGCATGATTTAATGTTACATTTTAGAAGAATAGATTTAGAAGAAATTCTGCAAAACGACTGGAGTTAACTGTATTGATGACTGGGCCCTCAAAACTGTGTTCAGATATTTAACAAACTCTCTGTTTGTTAAATTCAATCTTAACCAGGGATTTTCAGGTGATGTTAAGAATGAAAGGGATCATGCTGACATGATGTTGAATTTTGGTCTTGTCCAAAAACACATTTTTAGTTTTTCTTTTAAGATGCTTTAAGGCAGCCTCATATGTGGGCATCACAGTTTGAGGGATGCTGTCAGTCGGTCAACAATAATGTTCTAACTGCTCACAATAGACGAGCTGCTGAAAAGATGTACCCAACGGGGATTCTAGAACAGAACAGACAGCTCTGGGTAGTCATGTGGTTCAGATTAACTTTTCAAAGATTAACTTGTTAGGACCTAAGAGTAATACTAACTGTATGGACGTTCCGTGGCTCAGATAACAGGTCTTGCTGTGGAATGAAGGATACCTTTAAAATAAGATATTTTTTAAAAGGGCTTTACCCATCCTTTTTTTTTTTTTTTAAGATATCATTTATTTATTTGACAGAGAGAGAGAGAGAAAGACAGTGAGAGAGGGAACACAAGCAGGGGCAGAGGAAGAGGGAGAAGCAGGGCCCCCACTGAGCAGGGAGCCCGACACGGGGGCTCGATTCCAGGACCCTGAGATCATGACCTGAGCCGAAGGCAGATGCCCAAGAACTGAGCCACCCAGGCGCCCCTAAAATAAGGTATTTTTTAGAAGTGACAAACTGTCACAGGTCAGTTTCATCTTACTGGATCGCTTAGTTCTCTGGGGTGCAAAAAGTCACTCTATTCCAAGAGTAGGATTCTTTACAAAGGGATTAGCACCAGTGCCACTTAAGAGGATCAGGCCTGTCCTTATTGCTAATATTAATATTTAAACATATATTATTAGATCCAGATATTAAGGATGGGAACCTGGGATGAAGTCTTTCCTGGGGCACAGAGCCAAGCTTACAAAAACTTCTCAGTGCTTTCCTTAATTGAGTACTTGCCAGCGCTTTTGGGGTTTTCCAAGATCCCGAAAACAAAGTTTTTGAGGGCATTTGAATTCATATATTTCAACTGAACTCAAGACTATCCTGCACCATTAACTAAGGAAGTGTTCAATTATTTGGTAGTTAGGCAAGTTTCCCATGATTAAGGTAAGCATAATTAGAGAGGGAAAAAAGTGTTATTTAGAGAGAGAGAGAGAGAGAGAGAGAGTGTATGTGTGTGTGTGTGTGTGTGTGTGTGTGGTGGGGGGGGTAGGGGATGGAGGGATGAAAACTAGCGTCTAGATCAACAATTTGAGCTTATTATTTATTTAGGTCCCATTGCCCTAATTTGGACAGGTATTCTCAGCACTGTTCTTCACTGATGTCTGTCTGTCTTTCTGACACTCCTTGACATTAACTACAGCCCAGCTAAGGGGCTGATGCCTCTCACCTATTGACCACCCAACAGTTTCTTAGTCAACCTGTCAGTGGTGCCTTCAATGGGCTGCTGAGAAGTAACACCATTAAAGACTCCTGAAGGCAGAGCTAATGCACTTCCATGCCTTCTGGAAAAGCACAGAGATGCACAGTGTTAAGAGTGAATTCTTGGACCGTCCCAAAGTGCCAAGGAAATGCAACCACTGCGTGAACTGAAGTTTACATTCATCTTCCCACCTGAAGATTTGCTCTTGCTTGTCCCCTGGCCTCGGTCACATAGCCTATGGGGCAGTGTGACATATGAGTGATTTTAGGAAACAACTGAGAAATTACTGTGGACTCAAATGAACAGAAGACTTTTCGTCAAACTGCAAAAGTTCTAATGTATAAGTGGTGGCTGGCTCTCCCTGCACACTCAGAGATGCCCTGGAAGGTCCTCTATTTGCTATTTTAAACATCACTTAACCAAGGGAGCAAAAGAAAGAGCTCACACACATATCAGTCTTGTGCTTCAATGTACATATGCATATATATCTATATACATCTCTTGAAAGCTAAATATATTTAGGTAGACTTGGAGGACTGATATACTTGTACAAATAAGCAGAGCCATTTACAGTACACAGAAGAAAGAGAAAAAAGGCGAATCAAAACGTGAAACGTACCATACTCCGGGACCTGCCCCGTCCCACGTTTCAGCAGGAGACGGACCCTTCTTCCTCCCGACTTGATGAGTTCTATCGCTCTGGAGTGTGTCATGTCCCTTGTGCTCTCCCCGTTGATTTCGATGATTTGATCTCCTACCTGTTAATTAAGGAAACATTAACTCAGCCAAAGATGGATCTACTCACGCTGCATTTCCAACAGATCAGAAAAGCATCCTTTAGAGGACCAGTTTCCAGAGGGCATCTGAACACTTTGGTTGTACCCTGTTGCTTCTTTGAAGTGGATAATTCTTCGCTGCATCCTGAATCTGACCAACAAACTTGATTTACCTTTACACGAGTGAAAATATCAGACCACACGTTGGGGTGGTATGTTATTTATTTTTAGTCAGTGTGGCAGAAGCTTTAGTTAGACTTTTGGCATTTTTTTTTTTAAATTAGGGACTATGTTTGATACCACAATTCCCAATAAACCTGGTACCTTCGCTTTGAAACAAGAAGTAAATATTTTAAGGCCTTTTCATTGAACACAGTACCAGCGGTGGGCTTAGTGCAGCATTTCATTCAGCATGCTGGATGGGATGATTGGTTTTTGGGCTTCTCTGAGAATTTTTATCATGCATCATTTAAATTTCCCTGGGTGCTATTGTGATTTTGCCTTCTTTGTAAACATGGCTGGTTGATATTCAAGTTTGATGATGAGTTTTCTATCACAGTCCTTTGAATTAAAAATGAGATCCTCCATTCTCCACACACGACTAATGCCCTTGCTAAATCTTTGCCATGCTCACACCTGATTGCCAGAACTGTTTGGTTAAATATCAATCCCTCTTGAATTGTTAGAAATGCCTGGGCTCCATAAGCAATTCCCATTTAGCCTTCATGAATAGATATCTCAAATAAAAGAGGTTCAACCACGAACACATCATGTAACTCCCACAGTACCATTACTGTCAGGAACTTTTGAATTAAAATATGTTTCATTTCAGTGCAAGTCACTTAAGATAAATTAGCCAGGAAAAACACAATGAGTTGCTTTGCAAAAATGCTATTTTAGTTGGGTCCCTTAAAGCAGATCTCAACGTAAACTCTGTAATGCAGACAGAATTGCAAACAAACTCTCTAGCGCAGTGCATTATCACGATGGGGGCAGGGCAAGAACAGGAACAAAAAGTGGCCATCATAACTGCGGGATGGCACTAAAATAAGACCATTCCCTACCCCCAAAATGGGGGGGAAGAACAAACACGTTTGTTATAGCAAGGGAGCAACATCTATCTTCCTTCTTTCCTTCCTTCCTTCCTCCCTCCCTCCCCTCCTTCCTCCCTCCCTTCCTCTCTCTCTTCCCCCCTCCTCCCCTCCCTCCCTCCCTTCCCTCCCTCCCTCCTTCCTTCCTTCTATCCTTCCTTCCTTTCTCTCCCTCCCTCCCTCCCTTCTTTTTTTAAAGATTTATTTATTTATTTATTTTAGAGAGAGAGAGAGAAGAAATGAGCAAGGGAGGGGCAGAGGGAGAGGAGGGAGAGAATCCCTAGCAGACTTTACACTGAACACAGAGCCTGACATGGAGCTTGATTGCTGACCCACGAGATCAGGACCTGAGCTGAAACTCAGAGCTGGATGTTCAACTGACTGAGCCACCCAGGTGTCCCTGTCTCCTTTTATAAAGAGTTTGCTAGGGATAAGGACTTCAATGTAATGAAAGCAAAGACTTCCCCTCTTCTTTGTGTACAGTGGTCTTTGAAAGTACGGTTTTTGGGCAGTGGAAGAAGTTTGCCTCAGTGGTATAACTCCCAAATTTCACAGAAGAATCATGAACGACAGGACTAAATTATTTGTTTTAGAGGCAATGTTTGCCACATTTTTCTTCAGGTCTCCTTAATGGTCTCCTTTCCATAAGGCAATGGGCACAGCCTGAAGTCGCTCACCTTACTGGAGGCCACTGCACCTCCAGTGGCAGAGAGGGGACCAATTATTGCTTTCCTAGCAGTTCCCAACCATGCCTGCAATGTCATGGCACAGTATTTACTTCTACAGTAAGTCGTAGAAGTGAAACAAAAGGTCCAATGAAGTTAGAATAGACTCTTCATGTTTAGTTAGACCCTTCTCTGAGCTTCACACTCACATATCTACTTGATTACTACACGTCTTCACCTGGAGGTCCAATGGACACATCCAACTCAATACCAGCAGACTGGGATTACCATATTTCTCCCAAAGTCATTTTTCCTCTTAATGCCTCATTCTGGTTTATGATACCACCACTCACTCAAGCCAGAAACCTGAGGGTCATGCTGAGGGTCATTTCCTGAATGTCTCAACATCTGTTTTTGCCTTCATTTGTATTCCATTGCTAACTAGAGCAAATCAGGCCTTTACCTGGTTTTCCAATATTCTCCTGTCACCCTCCCATCAATATCTTCCTCTGTCACTAGAGTCATTGTTATTGTTATTGTTCTTCTTTTTTTTTTTTTTTTTTAAAGATTTTATTTATTTGACAGAGAGCACAAGCAGGCAGAGTGGCAGGGAGAGGGAGAGAGAGAAGCAGGCTCTCTGTTGAGCAAGGAGCCTGCTGCAGGGCTGGATCCCAGGACCCTGGAATCATGACCTGAGTCGAAGGCAGCTGCTTAACCAAATGAGCCACCCAGGCGCCCCACTAGAGTCATTCTTCTAAGAGACATCTCCCCAAATGCTTCATGTCTGTTGAGCCTCCAGCATTTTCCACATGCTACTGTTCTCTTTGCCTTCTCCTCCCTCTAAGCCTGGTGATCTCCTGGTCTTCCTCAAAGCCAGCCTAGGCATCTTCTCTGGCATTCCTTCCTAGACCCTGTCTTCTTCTCAAGCAGACGTTTCCAATCCCTGTATTCATTTGTCACTGCACCTTACTCCAGTATTTATCACACTTTGCTACAGTTATACTTTTCTGTCTTTCCTCCTAGACTTGTAGCTTGTTCACTCATCAAATGATTTCTGAGCACTTATCATGTGCTAGAGAGTCTACTAGGGAGATAAGATAAAAACAGAAACAAATGGTATAGTTTCTATCTACAACAAATTCTCAGTCTAACTGGAGATAAAGTGGGTAAATAAGATTATTTTTCAATATATCTTTGCTATGACTGAGACACTCACAAAGTGCTAAGGGAATACAAAGAGGGTCATCTAACTCAGAATGGGTGAACTAGTAGTTAGGGAGAGCTTTCTGGAAGTGGTGACATCTCAACTGAGTTTTGAAGTTATCAGTAAGAATTCCCTGGGTGAAGGAGGAAGAAAAGCATTCTAGGTAGAGAAAGCAGCATGTGCAAAGACCCTGAGACTTGAGAGCATGGTATATTTGGGGAACTGTCAGGCAGTTTATTCTGCTATTCGGGAGTTCAAGCTTTATTTATTTTTATTTTTTTTAATTTTTAATTTTTTAAAAAAATTATTCACTTGAGAGAAAGAATGAAGAGTTAGGGAGGCAGAGGGAGAAGCAGGTTCCCTGCTGAGCAAGAAGCCTGATGCAGGGCTTGATCCCAAGACCCTGGGATCATGACCTGAGTCAAAGACAGACCCTTAACTAACCGAGCCACCCAGGTGCCCCTATTTTTTTTTTTTAAATATCTTATTTCCTTATTTATTTGAGCAGAGGGGAGGAGCAGAGGCAGAGGGAGAGATCTTCAAACAGATTCCATGCTGAGTGCAGAGCCTGACGTGGGGCTCGATCCCAGGACCTTGAGATCCTGACCTGATCTGGATACTCAACTAACCGAGCCACCTAGGTGGCCCATGGGACTTGGGGGGGGGGGGTTCTTTTTAATGATATATCTTATATGGTACACATGGTACATATTTGTGAATGAATGAAGCATTTATACATGGCTTATCTTGAGAATCATGGGAAAAGGGTTATAAACACTCTTGACCCCCAAATCAACCCTTGCTAGTCACCATTGCCTGAGGAAACTTCTATCTTGAGACTGACACTGTAATAGAGTCATGTGGAGGGCAAAGAAATCTCATGGTGTTACAGAAGTGGTCACATGTCATCTGCATTCTGGTCACATACTTGAGTATAGCAAGACTTAGAAATTTGATGTTTTTCATTCTCTTGTGCATTTCTTACGTTCCCTTTCTCCTATTAAGAGTTCATGAGAACTGAGGGAAGAGACATTAGCATGGGAGAGAGAGGTGGCGGATTGGAAGACTGCAGGACTGGTTGAGAAACAGAGGGGTTCAAGGGCTGTATGGGGGCCACACTGACATCTCCTATGCAAGAGTTTCAGGGTTGGGGCTCTGGGAAGGGTCAGGGCTGTTATTTTTACTGAGTACCCAGAAGCATGGCCTGACCTCTTGGCATGGCAGATTTCCATACTTTTAGCTTTTGATATAGTGTCTCCTCAGAGGGAGAAGAGAACATGTTTGATGCTGGTTGGAGAAAGGATCCTTAGCCTTCATCTAAGACTTCCAGTCCCTTCCAAAGTCCCCTCCCCATGACAGGACAAGGGAGGATGGAGTCTGCTGATTTCCTGCCTCACTGGAAGCAATGGAAGTTTGGGTATAGTCCTACATCTTACCAAATTCAGAGAAAAAGAAAAATTGGTGTGGGTGGATGCCAGTCAGGTAATAAGACGGAAATGCTGTCCCTGTCACAGACTCTGAATCTTACAAAGTGTGCTGAGCAGGTTATAAAAGTGGGCCAACTCATTTGCACCTAGTATCATTGATAATAAACTCAGTGGGAGCCCAGACTCAAGACCCCTATTCCTTTTTTGTGAAATGATGAAAATTGTACAAAAGACTTAATATTTATTTTTACTTCACTAGTAGTGGTATACACAGTCATCTTAAATGGGACTCCCTAAATAAATTTTGTATTTGATTCCTTTTGCTTTCATCCTTATTACGTGGATATATAAGGAGTCTGTCGGGGCAGAAGAGGTTCTCTGATTACCTTCCTATGTCGTCTGACTTCACTGTAGCTGTCAGGATGTGGCCAGTTGAAAAGCATCACTTTCCTCCCTTACATGTGAACCAACTGGAGGAATTAATTTGATAAAGCCATTGGGAAATTTGCAGTCCTTTCAGGGATGAAGAAAAAAGACCAGTTGAGATTCTGATGGTCTTCTCTTTCTATACTCTCTGTAGGAGAACTATCTTCAA